CAGGAAGAGATTACAGGCCAAGATGCTCCACAGCTCCAGCTAATGGTGCAAATGGAAAGGCTGCAGGTTGCAGCAGAGGGTCTCAGGTTGTAGAGGTTCACTTTCACTCAGTACAGATACCTACCAGGTGCTAGGGGGGAAAGTGGTGAGTGGGCAGGTGGGAGTAAGCAAAAATGTGCTCCTAACTTTGCAGGGATCAGGGTGGCTGGGACCCCCCAGGGAAGCCTCTGCAGCAGCCCCCAGGCCTTATGCAGGTCTATGGCTGGTGGGGCCCCTTGGTGGGTAAGGTGGAGTCTATAGCTGCTGTACCAACACTAGCAGCGTTCCAGAAAACATGTTCCAGCTCTTCCCTGTGCCTTTGAAGTTTGAGAGAGTCAGAGTGAAGCCTCCTGGGTTTTCTCTTGCCGAATAATATGCCTCTTCTCATCTGGGTAAGAGGCCTGGAGGCAAGGTGGACACTGGGCTAGGAAGCTGTTTCCTCCCACTGCCATTGCAAATGCTTTGGAATGGCTAATGACATGGTAATTATCTCAGCTGTCTCAGGATGGGGAGAAGGCTGTGGCTGTCGGGCAGGGTGCGATGCCAACTAACTGTTTGGGGCTGGAGGGAAATCTTTGAAAAGCGACTCACTCCTTGGGAGCTGGTTTGGGTGCAGGATAACTCCCTGTTCATGGCTCTAAAAGCTTTGTGGAAGCAGACTGGTGCCTTTCCCATGGACTATGGGCCCTATCACCATAGCAGAGGAGAGCACCCCTTACTGACAGAGCACCCTCTGCTTCAGGAAGCTGTGCAATTTAGCAAAGGGTTTATCTTTGGTTAGCCTCACCTAGGCTTGAAGCAACAGACCCAGAGGCACCCATGGTAACAAGAGAAACATGCTGCCATAGTGCTGATGTCTTCTTTCTCTGCAGCTTTGTGCTGAACCTGGGGAAGGATGCTTCCCACATCGGGCTTCACTTCAACCCCCGTTTTGATGCTCATGGTGATGTGAACACCATTGTATGCAACTCGAAGAAGGTGGAAGAGTGGGGTGCAGAGCAGAGGGAGTCTGTCTTCCCTTTCCAGAAGGGGGGCACAGCAGAGGTAAGGCCTGGGATGCACTCTCTGTACATGCCCTGGTGAAGGGAGGGTGTTTGGCACAGGGCACCCAACTGCAGGGGCTGTCTTAAGACTGTCTGTACTGAGGGTGTCTGGCTTCTCCTGCTTGGCCACTGCCACTATCCAGGGCTCTGAGCAGTGGAGGAGAGTGGCGATCAAACATTCAAGCTCCATCTAGCTCAAAGGGGTGTTACTATTGAACTGAGCAGGGAATGGGCATCCCTTGGAAGACCAAAATAACGATCCTGCTGTGGAAGAGCAGGTTATTTTGCTGAGCATGTTCACCCTACAAAGTGGAGGGTGGCACAGCAGTGCTGTGGAGGTGAGAGGCTCAAGGGCCTCTTGGCAGGAACTTTCTCTGACTTTTTCCATTTGTCTTGCAGATCGCTTTACTCGTCAACCAAAATGATCTGACAGTCCACCTGCCAGGCCACCAGTTCACATTCCCTAACCGGCTTGGTCTCTCTGTCTTTGACTACTTTGATACACAGGGAGACTTCACACTCCAGTCCCTCAGCTGGGAATAACTTCCACTGACACATCTATCTCAAAGATACAGAAAAAGGAATAAATAAAGGAGAGTTTTAGTCTACTCAGTCTCAATCTAACTTATTTCATACTGCAAGTCCACATAAGTTGCTGGAGGGGTGAGGGGAGGAGGACAGTAGCCACTTGGCTTGAGTACAAGATGTATCATAGTATTGTTCTGGTTGGGAAAGACCTTAAAGATCATCAAGTCCAACCACTACCCTGACTGCTGCATCCACTGCTAAGCCCTGTCCCCTGGCACCCTATTTGTCTTTTTAGATGTCTCCAGGGATGGTGGCTCAACCACCTCCTCAGACAGCCTGGATCACCAAGCCCAACTCCTGCCCCAGAACAGGACAACACCAAAGTTCATACTGTGTCCCTGAGGGTGTTAAGTGTTTCTTGAATATTGTTAGGCTCAGTGCCATTACTGCTTCTCTGGGGAGCCTATTCCAGTGCTCCACCACCCTCTGGGTGAAGACTGTCTTTCTAATGTCCAACCTAATGTGGATGGGGTTATGCCAGCCTTGGCCCTTAGAGTTACAGATGGAGAGGAGGGTCAAAAGCCTGCGAAGGCAGAAAGTAAGAAGCCCTAGGAAGGTCTCAGGAGGAAGCTGTGGACCTACATGTGGGGAAAGTGGAAGGCTCCCTTAGGCAAAGTCACCTGCTCTTGAGGTCTAGACTGACACCCTACACTGTCTGTGTAAATTGGGCTGATGACCTAGAGAGCCTTTGAGTTGCTGTGCTAGGTAAACCCAGTGGGGTGCATCGACTGAGGGGAAAGTCTGTCATTGTCATTTGGCCTGTACCCCTCTATAAAGGCTGGTCCTGCTCACGACACAGCTCTCCTTTGTCTTCTTGGGACTTGTTGCTGCTGCACGGGGACAGCAGTAGAAAAGGATGTTTGATGTTACAGCACAGTTGTCACCAAGCTGTGGGTTGTTGCCAAAAGTGTCAGCCAGCAGCTGCCTTGGAGGCTCTTCCTGCCTGATGCTACTGCAGCAGCAATGACTACTGCTCTTGGGCAGACTGTGCCTGGTGGGCGTAGGAAAGGTGGGACCTCCCCTTTCTGCCATGCACAGCAGGTACCAGGTAGGCCTGGTATTGAAGGACCCAACCCTTGAGTTCTCATTTCCAGATCTGGCCATGAGCAACATGACACACAAGCAATTTGGTGCCCATGGAGGATTTCCTGCAGCCTAGCCTGGCTGCTTCCTCCTGTTAAGCAGTTGCAGAAGAGCTGCAGCACAGAAACTCGCTCCTATGGCAGCAGCACCTGCTGGTCTTGCTCCATAGTTCATGAGGCTCTGACAGGTCCTGTGTCTCAGGTACCAATGCAGAGGGAGGCTTGGCTGCTGGGAACTGGGGAGCTGAGAAGGAAGAGAGAGAAGAGTTGGAGACAAGGGCTCAAAGATGGGCTTTTGTGCTGGGGGACAAGAGTGCTTAGGGTGTACAGGCAACTTGAGGCTCTACAGCCAGATGACTCTTGGAGCCCCTTGTTGCCAAAAGCCAGTCTGCTCTGGACAATCACATCCCGCTCTTTAGGGCTACATCTATAACAGTAAACATGACATTGTAATGTTGCCACCCTGTGCATAGACATGGTTGAGAGACAGCATAGTCTGGGGACCCTTCCTGTGGGGTGATATGAATGAGGCCATCCTCCATAGGGGTGAGAAGAGAGTTTAGCTGTATGGAAGTGAGCCATGCTAGGCTAGATGGCCTCAAGGCAAGAGACATGGCCCAGTCTGGCAGACTGGGGTACATTTGGTAAGCCAGAGAGTTTGGAGTTTCCTCAGCCATGGCACGGACATGGTGCTGATGAGGACCCCCTCCATGAGCTGTGCTGATGAGCATGTGGCGGAGCTCTCTCCTTGAAGCTTCCTCTGAAAGCTGAGCAAATGGGCTGACCTCCCTGGGCTGCATTTCCACACTGTCTCACAACATCTCTTAACTGTATTGGGAGTCTTTTTCTTAGAAAGACTCTTCAAAGATATTTTTTTAATTTTTTTTTTGTAGAGGAAGAAAGCTGAGTGTGAGATTTACCACAAGATGATGAACCTTATTCAGGTCGCCTGCTAACGTGGCTGCTTCTTGAAGTGACTCACTAGTCCTGTGAGATCTGTGACTCACTGTTGTCCTGACTTTGTTATGGCTTGGCCCGTTGCTAGAGAGGAGGTGAGTATTGGTGGGGGTTCCCCAGCTGTATAATTTAAGGTATTGAGGTTGATTGCTCCCTTCCACCCACTCCTTGCCCTTGTGCAAGGTGGAGTCTGGCGTGTGAGGACTGAAGGACCTGAGGATGGAGCCAGGATCCCTGAAACAAACATCCTCCCCCGAGCTGAGGAAGGTGAGTGGGGAAGGCATGAAGGGGATGATGGCACCACAACAACAATGACAGAAGACACAGCACACCCACATGGAAAGTGACGATCTTTTATTTCCCAATTCGACCCAGCCAAAGGCTGGGAGATGTTCCCAACCTGGGCCACTGCTCACCCTTCACTTTTCCCCCACAGCCCCCAATGACTCCCCTAAAGCCAGGGAGATGCTGGAGGCTCCCCCGGGACCCCGTGCCACCTCCCAGCAGGGCGCTGGGGGCCATGTCACACTGCAGGGTGCCCTGGGACCCCCCCCCGCCTCCTGGCAGGGCGCTGAGGGCCATGTCATGCTGGGGGCTCCCCCGGGACCCCCTGCCACCTCCCGGCAGGGCGCTGGGGGCCATGTCACACTGTGGGGTGCCCCGGGACCCCCCGCCGCCTCCTGGCAGGGTGCTGGGGGCCATGTCACGCTGGAGACTCCCCCGGGACCCTCTGCCACCTCCCGGCAGGGCACTGGGGGCCACGCCGTGCCCACCCCAGGGCGCCGGCGGGAGCTGC